CTAGCGTATGATTAAAACGATGAGTGGGCCCGGTGACGTTTTGCTTGACTCCAAAAGAGTTTATTAGGTCAGTAAACGCAAGTCCTAATGCATCATTTGTATTATCAACGTGAATATTAAAATCTCCGACAATTAGCGCTTTATCAACAGTAATCAATAGGTCTGAGAGGAAATCTGCAAATTCTTTTAGGAAATCTGTATACGGCCCTGGCGGTCTATACACAGTAGCCAGAGCAAGAGATACGATATATTTATTTTGCATATATGACAGTGTTACATTAAGCAGAAGTATTTTGAATTAGTTAAACCTGTATCCTGTTTTCTGAGTAACATTGAGAATATCACTATATATTGTTGCAACTCCACTGCCACGACCAGTCTGACGGGGCTCATGCTTATAACAGTAGCTTGGTGTAGTAGCTTCATTTAGACCGTTATAATCATTTGGTTTTAGCCAGGTTTCAGTCAAGCAGAGTACATCAAAACTATTATCCGTGATCATTTCATTTACAATAACTGCTTTGGGTGTGAGTGATTTAATGTTTAGGAGCCCAAACTTTAAAAATGGTTTTTGTTCATTTATTTTACATTTTTCTGGTTTAATCACGGATCAGATTTTTTTTTCTAGAGCCTGCATTAAATTTATATTTTGACCTCACTATTCGGGGAACAGTCAACGGTCTCTAAAAAGGCCGATCTAAAAAAAAACGATCTCAAGCTGATGACGTGCCTGCCGTGAGAGGTTTGGCGTGACATGCAGCGGCACCGTCTCAGTCTCTGTCCGGTGCGGGTGAAATAATTATAATGTTATTTCTTCATTAAATAACTTATAAAGTAATTTGAAAACCTTGTGTGAGACACCGCGCGCGCTCTCTCTTTCTCAAAATACGCAAATGGCTTCAAATCACCACACATCGCATCTGTCTGTAAGCGAGCTGCACGCTGCACAGTCGACACAGGAATTGTCACTTGCACAATCGAGGCAGTGTCACATCGTCAATAAAGTTTATAAATTGCATTACTTTTTAATTCTTGCCAGTGTTTAACCATTCAGCGCTCACGTGCTCTCCTGGAGACCGTGCACTCATGCACACTCGCGGCGCACACACATAACACCAGGTTCACATTACTCCGTTTGCAGTGCATAAGTGGTGCATATTTTTTCCGAGCTCATGTTAACGGATTAAAGCGTTCACTGCACACAGTTGCGGTCTGGCAGTGCGTTCCACGAGCGGTGCATCTGCAGCAGTGCAGAGATCGTTTCCACCGAGATGGTAAGTTTGTGATAATGTAAGAAAAGTAGTTTAAATGTTTTGCCACTTGCTTGAGCAACTTAAATAAATCTAGAAGTAAATGCAAAAGTAAAAAGCATTGAATAATGTGTTGCTTATATTTATTGTGTTTAAACATGTCTGTGAAAGATTGTATTGCTGTACTGTGTAAAAAATAAAAAATAAATAAAAAAGCCATTTGCAATGCTGAAAAAGCATTTTCAGTGACAATGTTTGGATTTGAAATCAAAATAATGGATAAATGTTGTGTTTGTGGTAAACAGCCACGGATCAGTAGCGGACTCCTGTGTGAAAGCCGCTTCCCCTCTCACAAGAGTCACCTAAGAGGGGAATTCCCCCCATTTTCAAAAATGAAATTCAGGCCCTAAATACATGTCTAAAAATCCTGATTGGAGTATCACTATATATAGTTATAAATGATAAAAAGAAGGCTTTAAAAAGATCGGTATCAGCAGGTACTGCTTTCTGTGATCGGCCTCAAAAATCCTGATCGGAGCACCCCTAATTTAAAGCAAAAACTCTCCTAACACCTTTCGTGTCCTCGTCGATACGGGGAAAGTGGTCGATGTGCTGCGTACCGTCTCGATCAGGCTCCTGAAGTCCCTCTTCAGCGTCCTCTTCAGCTTGGTGTCGTTAACCCCCACGTGCAGCACGACCGCTCCGATGCTCTAGTTGCCCTTCAGGATCGTGGGTATCTGCGCAGAAATATCAAGAACATGAGCAGGAGGGAAATGGTGAGTGTGCACTTTACCTTCAGCTAACGTAGCACGGACGGGCCACTCAAAGACCGGAGGCGGCGGAGGGGGAGAGGTTGTCGCCCGGGGCCTGGCTCGCGTCTTCCACTGCGGGTGCACCCAGGGTCCGTGGTGTCCCGGCGCCGGAGTGAAGGACATCTGGGAAGATCACATCCTGGGTGCATGGGGCCTGTGCAGAGAAACACACGGAGTAGAGGTGGTGGGAGTGTTAGCAGCGTACTGTATACTTAGCCCGGACTTGTGAGCATCAGCCCGGGATGTTTCCAGCAACCGAATGCAGCTCAAAAGTGTCCTCACCTGCACTTAAAGGTAGACACACATCCGCCATTAAAGCAAGTAGCAGTGAGTAAAACAATGGTAATGTGTGTGAATAGAGTATTAGCAATGTAAGCGAGATTAGTGGCAACCACACTGGCGACGCTAACGGGCTATAAGCTAATAGCGGACTCGGGAAATCAAAATAAAACTAGTGATAAGGCGCTCTGATTGTTTTTGTTGTAGAATACGACAGCGGATATATTCACACGTTATAGAAATGAAAATGGTGTATAAAATTGATATTAGGATAAAAAAAATAGACCAAGAATTAACTTGACGAAGCTCAGACTCAACACACGGCAGCAACAAACAGGAAGTCTGTATTTTGTTTGCAAATTTTCACACAGCAACAGTATATGTGACCACACCATGATATCTATCACTTGTCAAAACTAAATCTTAAAGATGGCTTTATCACTTTATTGCATCACATCTGGTTAGTACATTAAATTACACTAAAATAATTGTTTAATAACTTTGAAACAAGGGCCTCAGTTGTACTTTAGGTGCTGTCTCATTTGCTCACAGTGGTAGAGAAGTAATTGCATCATGGCCTATGTTGAATTTAACACAGATGAAAACGAGGCTGTGAGGTATAGATTATAGTGTTTACAATGGCACACATTTTAGGCCTTAGATCTCGTAATTTTCACAACTACTGATTTTTTTTTTTTTTGAGAATAACTTTTGTTAGCTGAACGATCAGTTTGTTTTTAAATAACAGTACAGTCCATTGAATGCACTGTACGTCTATCCCTCACAGCCTTGTTTTCATTCCTGTTAAATATGGCGCTATATATCTATAGTTCTTGCAGTTAGTACTACCTGTCTTACCTCTGTAGCTCTCAGCATTTGCTTAAAACTAAATCAGACTGTTTTCCTCTCCATCTATTTCATCTGAAACCCAGTGGACTTTGGTGTGAGTGCACAGCTAGATCGCACCGTGAGCCGCAGGAACACTTTCATCGGCACTCCTTATTGGATGGCACCAGAGGTCATCGCGTGTGATGAGAATCCTGATGCCACATATGACTATAAGGTGAGCTCTCCTTACTTCAGAAATATATAATCTGTGACATATGATATTCTATTCATGGTCTTTAATTGGTAATCACGTGGTGAGAAAACATTCAAATACATTTTGGTTGTTGCTGTGCTGCTGCAGCCAATGAAAATTCTACTCTATAACAGCAAAACAGCAGAGCGCTCTCATTTCAAATTGGTCTGCAGTGATTTAACTGGAAGGAGAGTATTGATCACGGCTCCTCAATTTACTCAATGCACACGTGAGCATATGCAATCAAAATCTAATAAACTTGCCTTGTGGATAATGGTGACTAAATTATTACCAAGTCACTCACGCTAATACAGTGATCTGTGCTGCGGCTGGCAGCGTTGATAATGTCACTATAACCGGACACGCCACTATCCTCCCCTTTCGTGTCAAAAGAAATATTGGCTTGTTTCTTTTTCGCTTTAGACTCTAGTCTGTGTCAATGCATGTTTAAAATGTCTCTGAATGTTGTATTTTTAAAAAATATATTCAATCATTTTCTGTTAATGGTATCTCGTGAGTTTGGTAGAGCCTCCTCAGACACTATAGTTGTCAGATTTGTTCTATATTCACTGTCTCGGAGACGAGTGTTAAATGTGGAGTTAATAAAAAGTGGATTTTGATGGAGAAAATGAAAATCCGTTCAAGTACATCAACAGCTACTTTAAAGTTACAGAGCTGCATAAACTTACATAAGGACCAAAACGTTATTGCAGTGTATTTCAGCAGACGGTTTTCTGTTGTTACACTTACAGTGCAGCTATAATTATCTAAATTGAGATTTAATGTCCAACATGCTGTGTGTGTTATGATTAGACAAAAAGCCTTCATAAAGGTAAACAACATTTCTGACACTTCCTGTGACCAGGTAATGACGGTTTTGCCTAATAACCCTTTAATGGTGGTAATACAGTAGTACAAAAGCTGTTACGGCTTATTGCTTAAGTTGAAATTTTGTGCGCTGTTAAGGATATTATTTTACTACACACTCAGACGGACATGCTTACATGTTCCTTTTGTAGGACCTTCCTACAACGTATTTTAAAACGGAGCGCTAATACTGCATGTGAACCTGTATTAATTCAATTTGTATCTCAGTCTCAGTTTTGTCTCATTTTGTCTCATGGTTTTCTCATTTTGTTTTTTGTTACCGTTTCTTTTGTGTTGTCTTTTTATTGTATTTTTTGTGTTGTTGGTAATTAAAATTAGATTATAATTAAAATGTTCTCACTGCAATTAATTTGTTTTTGTTACCGAATTAACAACAACAAATAATTTTAAAAATGATATTTCTTGTTTGAAAATCTGTTGGTTATTTACATTCAAGAAGATCAAGACCTCTTAGATGGCACAGACCAATTTTACACCATTTTAAGCGGCATACAAACTTTTTTTTACTAGGTTAATCTTATGTTCTGTAATAGTTGTCTGTACCAACTTGTCAATGAGTTCTTAAGTTTTTGTGTCCCATCTCATGTGAAGTTTCCTCTCTTGTGTTTCAGAGTGACCTGTGGTCGTTGGGAATCACAGCCATTGAAATGGCCGAAGGAGCCCCACGTGAGTAAAATGGTTCACTGCTTTGTGTATATTGGGATTTATGTTTTCATAGAAAAGGTATACACCATCCAAAGTTGGTGGAATCCTCACTTTTTGGAAGTTTAACACAAAAATTTATTAAATAACCCTGAAGCAGTGCCTACACGGAATGAAATATTTTGCAAATAAATGTGCTTTCATTTTGAAGCTTGATGGATGCAAGCCAACGCACATAAAAAGTTGCCGTATGTTAAGTTGCGTCGCATTATGACATTGGCTGAAACATATGTGAATGTCACAGACCTCTTCCTTGCATCTGTTAGATATATAAAACCGTGGTCAGAGTCTGGACAAGCCGCATTAGCCGCTCTCAGTGGAAGGTTGTCTCACAGATGGCTGAGCAGTGACGGATAGGCAAAAGGGCAGGCAGACTGTAGTGATCTTGTCCTGGCTGGGGAGGGGAGTAATCCTGTAGGAAGGTGCCCTGGCAGGATGGTACTGCTTTGGCCAGGGGACAGAAAGCTGCTGTGCAGTGCACTTGAGGACAAAGCTGGCTTTTTCTTCTTTTTTTTTTTTTTATGTAGTCCATTGGAGAGATGACTCACCGCTGTGACTGCTGACAACAAATGGAAATGTGTGTGTGTGTTTGTGCATGTATTTTTGTTGGCACTGGCATATTGGCCCTTGGTATGTAGCAACAGATCTGTGTCCAAAAGTGACATTTCTGGTCAAAGCTCGACCGTCCTCTAGTTTGGAATGAGCTTGCCATCCCTGCTGCCAGGCTGAAAGACATTGTACCCTCAAACAGTGACCATTCTGTGCTGGGAACTCGCTCGCACCTGCCCATGTAGTCTGATACTTGCCATCTGCGTCTATTCAAGCGGCACAATCCTGTTCCAGAGTTGCTATTAGCTTCATATTTGGTTGATTTGTTAAAAGCGAGCTGTTGGACTTCACAAACATGTTGAAAATGGAGTTTTTAACCTCTTGTTGATGCTTGATATTGTTCGAGCGGTTTTATATTGAGGCATGCTGAAAACTAATGCGCATTTTGAGAAATAGAAGTATTTTTAGTGTCAGTTCAAGAAAACACTTACAGAATATATTACCAGGACTACATGCTTTGACAGTATTCACACGACTTTTAAATATGGCTCATATCATGCACTTGTCTAAACAGGCAATGCTGTGAAACTGACCTAGATGTGTAAAACACCCCACCCTGGAATATTCGTCACGCGAAACATCTTCAGCAAATACCATCATGTAATTTAATATTAATTTATGCACTCAATTTAATCATTAGAATTTGCATTGTGACGTCCGTTGTCACTGTTCAAAACAAGTGTTTCATTATTTGAGTGCTAATGTATATCAGTATAGTTTAAATGGTTTTGGAAATGTATAAATGGTTTTCATTTTTATTTTGTTTTATTTATTTAATTTTATTATTTCTTTTGTTGTTTTTATTTATTTTGTGTTTTGTTTTGTGCTTTTTGTTTTGTTTTTTTGTTTTGGTTTGTGCTTTGCTTTGCATTGCTTTGCGTTTTTCACCCCAAGGGTAAATCAAGCACACGATTGGTGTCACATGTGAGGGGGAAAATCCAATTTGAGCCATGTTTAATTGCAGTGTGAATAAAGCCTTTAGTAGCTAGCTTTCTGTGCACATTTTGAATAGGTGTCATTGTGAGTGCAATACATAATAAAAGTGCTTTCTGACAAGAGCAGGTCTTCATTGTATGTAAAGGATATTAATATATAAGCCATAAATATATTGCTTCTTGTCATGGTCCTGATCACTGTCCAATCAGAATGAAGCATTCAAGAGATAATAAACAGAAATATGCAATCTGATTTTATGTTTTGGCACATAATGGATAATTTGTCCTGTCTGTTTTCTAAAAGCTAGGCTGAGATCTACTGGACAGTTTTGGACAGCACAACACATCCAGTGTTAACATTCTCCTCTCTCTCCCCACAGCCCTTTGTGATATGCACCCAATGAGAGCCCTGTTTCTGATCCCTAGAAACCCGGCTCCCAGGCTCAAGTCCAAGAAGTGGTAAGTGCCCCTCTCTTTGTTCGCAAAGGTCACAAAGTGACCCCCAGTCCGGAGCTTCTGCGAGACCAAACAAGATCTCCCAAGCACTCTGTCCCATCTACTTTTAATCAGAAAGTCCTGAATACTTATTCACTGTTCACGTCATCTGTCACATGTGATGTTCATTCGGTATGTCAGCCCATTTGAGTACAAACGCCTTGAGAAAGGTTGCTTGTCACGCTAGACATACAGGTTTTTGTTTGTTAACAGCAACTGATATGTACATGATTCCTAAACTTGTAAACAAACTCGCTCTTGCCAGACAGCTTGACAAAACAAGAAGCCAAAAATAAAGAGAGAGATGGGCCTGCAGCATTCCCCTCAAGCTTTTCCTCATATCTGCAGGTCTAAAAAGTTCCAGTCATTCATTGAGAGCTGTCTGGTGAAAAACCACAACCAGAGGCCCAGCACAGAGCAGCTCCTCAAACATCCCTTTATCCGAGAACTGCCCAACGAGAGACAGATCCGCATTCAGCTCAAGGACCACATCGACCGCACCAAGAAGAAGAGAGGCGAGAGAGGTGAGCAACCTGATCAGCTTTATATATTAACATGTCAAATCAGATATGCCCCGTTTTGTCTTTACACACTTTGTTGAACACACTAAAACAAATGAGCAACCATGAAGATGGAACAGCCATGTGAGCCCTCACCAGATGCTCTATCGCTGCTGACATTTAGCATTTATCACATAACACATGACCTCCATTCCCCATTTTTCATTTGGCTTGTCGTTCCCCCCCCCATATAGCCCCTTAAATTGCTGCTTGAAGTTATATTATTTAAGAGTTTAGTAGTATTGCCCTTCTCCAAATGGCCGTTTTCATGTATTCTCAAAATAAAGGTTGAAAATGAAGGATTTTGCTGTGTGGTTATAAATAATATTAAGAAGAGAGTTATATGAGAAAATTTAGACCTAAACCAAAGTATTTTAGTAAATCCGTGAATGTCTGTATTTTTAAATATTAAAAAATATACACTGCAGTTTTTTTAAGAAATTAATTAAATTGAACAAAAGTGACAGTAAAACATTTATTATGTTATAGAATTGCATTTTTTAAAAATGCTGCTTATTATCTATTCATCATAATCCTGAGAAAATATCACATTCTAGTGTTTTCAGCTATGATAATAATAAGAAATGTTTCTTGAGCAGCAAATTACCATTAGAATGATTTCTGAAGGTTCATGTGACACTGAAGACTGGAGTAATCATCATTTTACAAAATAGAAAAGGTATTTTAAATTATAATATTTCATAGTATTACGGTTTGTTGTATTTTTGTTCAAATAAATAGAGCCTTCATTCTTTCAAAAACATTAAAAAGTCTTACCGTCTCCAAACTTTTGAATGCTAATGTATACAATGGCCCCAAAACATATTTTGACATTTTTTTTCTTACAAACTTTATTCACAATGAAAATATTAAACCAAGTATATTATATCAAGTTTTACAGTAATTATTAACAAAAATATTTAGACACAACCAGTGTTCAAATAATTTTTTTATCCTCATTTTTAACAACTATCTTTTAAATCTTAACCATAAGTCATTTTTGGGAAATGCTTTGCTCAAAAAAAAACAAAAAAAGTGTTTGTGCTATATTTCTTTGCTGTAAGTGCCACTTGTCAGATATTCTATTAAATACGGTCTGTCCCTTAAAAGTACGATAGTACAGTTTGTGTAATTTTAAGTGTCAGAGAGAGGGTGAAAAATAGTAATTAAACTAAATTATATTTGCAACTGGTGCTAGAATCCTTGAACATAAGTGCACTTCAGGGAAAAGCTACAAAATCATAGAGTATTGGCACACTTAAAGGGGTCATTGGATGCCCATTTTCCACAAGTTGATATGATTCTTTAGGGTCTTAATGAAAATTCTGTAACAGTTTGGTTAAAATTTCTCAATGGTAGTGTAAAAAACACCTTTATTTTTATTTTTTTAAACCTTGTCAAAAACGGCTCTTTTCAGAGCAAGCCGTTTTGTATAATTTTCTTTTAAATGTTAATGAGCTATGCTGACCCTGCCCCTCTCTTCCGAGCCGCTCTCTGAGGGACTGTTTACTTTAGCCGCATTCATCGTGAAACTTGCTAATTAGCACATTATTAGGAAAGGACGATTTGCAAAGATTCATTAAAAAAACCTTACTCACTTCATCTGTAGGTGAAGCTGGATCACGAATGATTTGCGCGAACTTAGACGCATTTAGTGTAGATCGGGGGCGCATTCCCTTCAAAAACATTCTTGTCTATATCTGCTCCGGCAGTGAGACAATGGTGGACTGATGACAGCTCACTCAGGGCGGGTCTAAGGTAAAACGCCAATCCAGTCTGTGCTGAAACGCTACTGTCAATCAAACTATTGTGGGCGGGGCCTGTTTTTGTAACATCACACAGACAGGCATCTGAGATCGGCTCGATTTGAGAAAGCGGTTAAGATTTAAGCAGATAAAAAAAAAACACTGGGTGGATTTTTATTATTATAGGGTGGTTGTGTACACACTGTCAACACACATTTCAGTTCAAACAACTTGTAAAAGTGCATGTAGCATCCAATGACCCTTTAAAAGCAGACAGATGCTTTAAGGGCGTAGAATGTCAAGGTACCTGACAGGGATCCCATCAGGGAGGGTTTTGCATGTCTGAAATGTGACTGCTGGACATTTTCACACCTGCAGATGAGACTGAGTACGAGTACAGTGGGAGTGAAGAGGAGGAGGAGGAGCACGACATGGGAGAGCCCAGGTACATCCCGCATGAGGTGTTGGGGGTTGTATTGGATGTGTGGATGTGGGTAAATGAGACAAACTGATTCATTCATTCATCTCTATACAGCTCCATCATTAACATACCCGGAGAGTCCACTCTGAGGCGGGATTTCCTACGGCTGCAGCTGGCCAATAAGGAACGATCAGAGGCCCTGCGCAGACAGCAGCTGGAACAGCAGCAGAACGAGGGACACAAGCACCAACTACTGGCAGAGAGACAGAAACGCATTGAGGAACAAAAAGAACAGCGGCGCCGTTTAGAAGAGGTACGTCATCGTGTGGGTTTGTGTGCAAGCCACAGTGTGTGTTTACCATAACCACCAAGGTTTACACCAGCAGTAGTCTGGCATAACTTCAGCTGCTCTGAGCTCATATGAAAATAACTTTTTGTAATATAAATCCTTGAATTGAGGCTCTCTGCATTTGCTCACTTAGATCTGCTTAGTGATGTAAGAGATCTTTAGTATTTATATGGAGAACATCCAGATTAGCAGTTACACACAAACGCAGACCAGCATTCCTCTCCTACAGCAAGTGATGACTTTAACACCAGGCTCGGTGTAGCTTGAGGCCAAGGCGTTATTTTAAGGAACAGTGCATTGTGGGAAGCAGGAAATTCAGCATGCCAATGATAAGCAAGTTTTGTGTGAAGTCTATTCTTGAAATAATTTACGTAAATTAATCAAACTTACAGTTTCAGGGAATCAAACTTTGCACTTCATTTGTTGCTCAAATATGTTTAAGATATTCCTTGTTGGTAATTTTTCATTTATTAAAATGTTTTGGTAACATTTATATATAAAATTTGATTGTACATTTTATCTGTGCATATAAATTTAAATAATTAAACATACTCTGGTTATCATCGTTAACTAAAACTTATAAAACAAATTGTGTAAATTAAAATGAAATGAAAAATGAAATGAAATGAAATATAAATATTAGAAAAAAATCTTAAACTAAATGAAAATTAGAAATGTTGCCTTAGCAACTAACTGAAATAAGAGTAGGATTAGGAGCACTAACATTACTAAATGGAAATAAAAACTAGAACTGAAATGGAAGTAAATTAAACCCAAATAGTATATATATCAAATTTAATTAAAATGGTACTTAACAAAATGATTATGAATTCAACTATAATAAAAATAAAACTCCATCATACTGCCTCTACCCTTTCAGCGCAAATACATAATGGAGGACGTCAGCTGGTCTGGCTGAATTGTCCATTTTACGTCCCAATAGCATCACACATTAACAAATGACACACTTTCGCTGCACATGAAACCAGAGGACGTGGAAGGAAAAATGCTTCTACACTGTTGCTGTGTAAAGACTCAACAGGTTATTCAGCTGCATGATTGTGTGTGTGTGCGCGTCTCACAGCAACAGCGGCGTGAGCGTGAGCTCAGGAAGCAGCAGGAAAGGGAGCAGAGGCATCGCTATGAGGAGCAGCTCCGTCGAGAGGAGGAGAGGAGACAGGCCGAAAGGGAGCAGGTACACGCACAGCACTGCTCCGATGACACAGCTGGAAACCAACTACACACTCAATTAATGGAAGTTAATTGTTGTGAAAGTAACCCTGTGAATGGCTCCGTAACGAAGAGGTTCTGTGGAGAGCCAGATAAGACACGGGTAATGAGCGCACAGCACTCCTGCTTTTCTCTTTATCTGCTCCAGGAAGATTGACCATCTAACATCCTTAACCTGTGTGTGTGTGTGTGTGTGTGTGTGTGTGTGTGTGTGTGCGGCCACATGACCTTGAACCATTCCCCCACACATCTCATGATGTATGAAGGGACAGCTGAGTCACTGACTTGTTAAATAGAAGAGAATATCTCTCTTTCATTCGTGTGGGTGAGGTTAATTACCTCGCAGAGCTGTCGGTACGTTTCTAAGAATGGCTCTGTTAATGGCCGCTGTTTTCCAGAGCTCTGACCCGCGCGCTCGCTCACACCGCCCGCCCTCAACAGGGCTTTCGCTGCACATGAAACCAGAGGACGTGGAAGGAAAAATGCTTCTACACTGTTGCTGTGTAAAGACTCAACAGGTTATTCAGCTGCATGATTGTGTGTGTGTGCGCGTCTCACAGCAACAGCGGCGTGAGCGTGAGCTCAGGAAGCAGCAGGAAAGGGAGCAGAGGCATCGCTATGAGGAGCAGCTCCGTCGAGAGGAGGAGAGGAGACAGGCCGAAAGGGAGCAGGTACACGCACAGCACTGCTCCGATGACACAGCTGGAAACCAACTACACACTCAATTAATGGAAGTTAATTGTTGTGAAAGTAACCCTGTGAATGGCTCCGTAACGAAGAGGTTCTGTGGAGAGCCAGATAAGACACGGGTAATGAGCGCACAGCACTCCTGCTTTTCTCTTTATCTGCTCCAGGAAGATTGACCATCTAACATCCTTAACCTGTGTGTGTGTGTGTGTGTGTGTGTGTGTGTGTGTGTGTGTGTGTGTGTGTGTGGGGCCACATGACCTTGAACCATTCCCCCACACATCTCATGATGTATGAAGGGACAGCTGAGTCACTGACTTGATAAATAGAAGAGAATATCTCTCTTTCATTCGTGTGGGTGAGGTTAATTACCTCGCAGAGCTGTCGGTACGTTTCTAAGAATGGCTCTGTTAATGGCCGCCGTTTTCCAGAGCTCTGACCCGCGCGCTCGCTCACACCGCTCGCGCTGAACAGGTTTTTCCATCATCATCGTCTCACAGTTGCTCTTGAGAACACAGCGATTACACTCCCCTCTCTCTGCTCTCACTATCAGTATCCTCTCCCACCTATTTTGTTCTCTCAGGCACACTGTTTCAGGTGTGCTGATGTACTAACTCCCAGTGTGCTCTTTCTCTCTCTTCACACGTTTACACCCGCTCTTCGCTCATCACACTATCAGCTCTGTTCTTTCTCTTCTCTCCCACGCATTCAACAGGTCTACACCGCTTCATTAAATTGTGTGCCTGATCTTTCCCTTCATACTTTTTCCCTCTTTTTTTCACTCCTTTTCTCTGGCTAAAAATTATCTTTCTTTCTTTCTATCATTCTAACAATCATGTTTTCATTCTATCTAGGCAGCTATCATTTCTCTATCTATTAAGTCTAGTTAGCTAGCTATCCCTTTAGGAAAATTAACCATGGTTTTATTATAGTAAAAGTGTTGTAACCATGTTTTTAATGTATAACCACAGTTTTACTACAAATACCATGGTTAAACTATGGTTAGTGTAGCTATTGTTTAACTATAGTAACCATGTTTTTTGTTTTACTTGTAGTAAAACCACACACATCTCATGATGTATGAAGGGACAGCTGAGTCACTGACTTGATAAATAGAAGAGAATATCTCTCTTTCATTCGTGTGGGTGAGGTTAATTACCTCGCAGAGCTGTCGGTACGTTTCTAAGAATGGCTCTGTTAATGGCCGCCGTTTTCCAGAGCTCTGACCCGCGCGCTCGCTCACACCGCTCGCGCTGAACAGGTTTTTCCATCATCATCGTCTCACAGTTGCTCTTGAGAACACAGCGATTACACTCCTCTCTCTCTGCTCTCACTATCAGTATCCTCTCCCACCTATTTTGTTCTCTCAGGCACACTGTTTCAGGTGTGCTGATGTACTTACTCCCAGTGTGCTCTTTCTCTCTCTTCACACGTTTACACCCGCTCTTCGCTCATCACACTATCAGCTCTGTTCTTTCTCTTCTCTCCCACGCATTCAACAGGTCTACACCGCTTCATTAAATTGTGTGCCTGATCTTTCCCTTCATACTTTTCCCTCTTTTTTTCACTCCTCCTTTTCTCTGGCTAAAAATTATCTTTCTTTCTTTCTTTCTTTCTATCATTCTAACAATCATGTTTTCATTCTATCTAGGCAGCTATCATTTCTCTATCTATTAAGTCTAGTTAGCTAGCTATCCCTTTAGGAAAATTAACCATGGTTTTATTATAGTAAAAGTGTTGTAACCATGTTTTTAATGTATAACCACAGTTTTACTACAAATACCATGGTTAAACTATGGTTAGTGTAGCTATTGTTTAACTATAGTAACCATGTTTTTTGTTTTACTTGTAGTAAAACCATGGCTAATTTTCGTAAGGGTCATTCTTCTTAACTAGCTATTATTCTGTCTTGCTATCATTCTTACTATGGTTTTATTTAACTAGCTGTGTTTTCAGACTATGGTTCTAGCTAGCTAGCTTGCTTGCTGTTGTTCTAGCTATAGCTATAGCTGTCGTTATGGTTCTAGCTGGCTAGCTATTGTTATACCTAGCTATGTTTCAATTTAGTTAGCTCTCTTTCTATGTAGCTGTCATTCTTGCAATTGTTTGAACTATCTTTTCTATCTTATCTATCATTTTATCTAGATCGACATCTTTTTCCAATCTATGGTTATAGCTAGTTAGCTATTGTTCTGTCTATCATTTTATCTCGCTAGCTAGCTGGCATTCTATCTAATCTAGCTGTTGTTCTATACAGAGTTTTATCTGTGGCTCTATATGTTTAGCTAGCTATTGTTGAGTCTACAGTATAAGGTTCTATCTAACTAGCTATTGTTCTCTCTCTGTTGTTCTAGTTATGATTTTGTCTTTCTAGATAGCTAGCTATCATTCTAACAGCTGTCGTTCTAGCTAACTAGCTATAATTCTATCGTTCTGTCAATGGTTCTAGTTGGATAGCTATTAAACCATGGCTAATTTTCGTAAGGGTCATTCTTCTTAACTAGCTATTATTCTGTCTTGCTATCATTTTTACTATGGTTTTATTTAACTAGCTGTGTTTTCAGACTATGGTTCTAGCTAGCTAGCTTGCTTGCTGTTGTTCTAGCTATAGCTATAGCTGTAGTTATGATTCTAGCTGGCTAGCTATTGTGATACCTAGCTATGTTTCAATTTAGTTAGCTATCTTTCTATCTAGCTGTTATTCTTGCAATTGTTTGAACTATCTTTTCCATCTTATCTATCATTTTATCTAGATCGACATCTTTTTCCAGTCTATGGTTATAGCTAGTTAGCTATTGTTCTGTCTATCATTTTATCTCGCTAGCTAGCTGGCATTCTATCTAATCTAGCTGTTGTTCTATACAGAATTTTATCTATGGCTCTATATGTTTAGCTAGCTATTGTTGAGTCTACAGTATAAGGTTCTATCTAACTAGCTATTGTTCTCTCTCTGTTGTTCTAGTTATGATTTTGTCTTTCTAGATAGCTAGCTATCATTCTAACAGCTGTCGTTCTAGCTAACTAGCTATAAATCTATCGTTCGGTCTATGGTTCTAGTTGGATAGCTATCGTTCTGTCATTTTGCTATTCTATCCATCTCACACTTATTCATCTTCTGTGGTCTTCTCCTGTCACACTTTCACTCCAAATCCTGTGCAAACTGTGATAAACTCGCTCTTCTGTTTTTCCTGTCTCTTGCGTCGCGACTGGTCTGTAGGAGTATATCCGTCGTCAGTTGGAAGAGGAACAGAGACAGCTCGAGATCCTGCAGCAACAGCTTTTGCAAGAGCAGGCGCTCCTACTGGTAACAGAGAGAAGACACTCGCCTTGCTGTACCCCTGAACCCTGTCCCTCCTCGCCCAACCCGCTTCTGCGCTGACCCATATCTGTTTGTTAATCTTTTGGCCTCCTTGCGTGCATGCAGAATCACAATTGTGTTATATTTTGCTTTGAAGTATTGAAATGAAGTGCCGTTTTTGTTTTATTTTTGCTTCTGCTTGTAAAACATGAGAAATAACACCATTTAGAAGAACAAGAATGTAGTTTTTGATTTGGTGACAGAGGGGACATATTGAGGAGTGAGATATAAGTTTTGTAAGCTGGACTTGAACCTGAATTAGCCATCTAAGCAGCATGACTCCAACTGAAAGGAACACAATTGTGCTAACTACTCTGCTACTGTTTGTACAGTATATGGCAACTGTATAGAGTTAGATTTTGATGTTTTTAACATTTATGTACAATACATCATGTATATTCATGATGATCTACACCAGTGTTTCCCAACCTTTTTTTTAGTCGCGGCACCCTTTGGAAATTTTAACAAATTTGTGGCACCCTACAAAATTAATTTTGTCACAATATTTGAATTTCTAACTTCGATATAATAATTTGAAAAGTATAGATATTCGGTACAACAGGGAGGAACTGCAGAATATGATGTCATACAGATATTTTTTATATTATTAAAAAAATTTGTCCATCAATGGTGGCAATAAGTAGGCTAATTTCTAATGAAGAGACCAATTTATTTTTTACAGATTTACAGATTTTACTGAAGGCTTTTGTACACATGTAAACATTATTTAATTACCATTATAACTAGCTATCTCACAAATTTTTGCTTACTCAGTGTTTTTTTTATTTTACAGTAGGGTAATTTTGGTGCAGTAGCACGAGATTGATTTCAAACTTTGAATTGAATAAAAAATGACAAGTAAGCAGTCAGTAGTAAAATAAGAACAAATAAAGAAATGAATAATGATAGCACAAATAAAAAATAACGACAGGCCTTCGAAT